TATCCTGAAAGAGAGCATTGTATATAATGCTGGAAAAGAAAGAAAGAAAAAAAAAACCTAACTCTAACCCTAACCCCTAACCCTAACCTGAAAGTAATGTTCTCAAGATATGCCTAATGATCGTCCTCTGCTACATGTCACATTTGATGTCATCATCAGCTACAGGACTTGAAACTCTGCCACAATTCCAATGGGACTAATGCATTAGACTAAACAAGCAGGGTGTCAAAGAATCGCAGCTCATCTACCAAGGGGTCCCAGAGCCACAAGTCCACTTCTGACTAGCCAGAAGAGCAAACTCTCAGAGGGTGACACACCAGCTGCCTTGGCCTTCACTCTGGGAGAAGAACCCCATGGAGGAGAAAAGTAGGACCAACTCTGTGATCATTGAGATGTTGCCAAAACTTCCCACCACCAGTGATCAGTGGCATAGGTTACATAATCTCCCTGACCCCATTCCATCTGGAAAATGGGTGTAATTTTTTTAAGTTGGATGCATGTATAAGACGGAATTTCCCATCCTCCTTAGCACTTTCTCAATCTCTCTTCCACTATCATTGTCATTCCATAGTCTCATGAGTTACTTTTGGTAAGTACTCGCTCCAGCTGACAGCATCTCACACCCTTCATCTCCAACCCTAACTAGGAACTGAGGGAGTACAAGGCATGCATTTGTCCCTCCAAAACTAACATGATGTCTAAAGTCTTTTTTATGACAACCGCCAGCCTCCCAGGGTGGAGCCAAATCCAAAGATCAAGGTGCTGCGAAAAGATTTCAGCATGGCCACAGACATGCAAACTCAATCATACAGTGCAGAGTGTCAGAGCCTAGAAAATGGTCTCACTTTCCAAAAGCAGCTCACTGTACTGAAGTGGAATCTGGAGTGACTCGTCCCTATTACTGACTCGTACACTCATTATCCCCAGGGAAAAGCACCTGAAGAATAGAGCACACAAAGCTACATGTTCAGCAGTTAGTGCCGGAAAAGCTTGCACTAAACACACCTCAATCACACTCTGATGCGCCACAAAAGTAGGTTCGCCATACCAAATCACTACAAACACAGCTTTCACTGGCTCATTCTATGGACATAAGCGATAGTCATACGAGAGGAAGGAACCTCAAATGAGAAAATGCCTCCATAGAATAGGGCTGCAAGCAAGCCTGTAAGGCATTTTCCTATTAAGTGATGTCGGAAGACCCAGCTAGTAATGGGTAGTGGCACCCCATGCTCTGGCCCTGGATGGTATAAGCAGGCTGAACAAGCCAGTGAGCAGCACTCTTCATGGCCTCTTCATTAGCTCCTGCATTGGAGTTCCCACGGGTTTGAGTTCTTTGGTTTCACTTAACAGACTATTATTCAGGATATGTAAGCCTTTCCTCCCCAAGTTGCTTTTGGTCATAACGTTTCAACACAACAATATTAACCCAAACTAAGACACAGCTATGCTTCCTTGCTGCAAGTTGGTCTTGTCATGACAGAGATATCAAGCGTGTGCCATCTTGACAAGAAAGACAACACAAGGAGAGCTCTCCTCTGTATCACGGGATGCTACATGTTCTAAAATAGAGCCATACTTGCTCCAAGCAGACTCCTGAAATTTTACATTTCAAAACAGACAAGAAAAAAAAGAGAAACAAGTGTTCAGTGTTTAATGAAATTGGTTGTGACAATGTACAGCTTCACTGATATCTTTTCTTAGAAACATGGCCCAAATCAAATGATGGATTTCCTAATCTTAACCTGTATGCTATGTGACCACATGAAATAGCACAATTTAGGTCACAAATGTGATAAAAAAAAAAAAATAACTAGAACCCCAAAGATCTGCAGTAAAGGACTGACTCAATGTGTGCTTATACACGCTGACAAGCAACCATTTGCTAAGAGGTGAAAACAAGAAAAGAGTGAAAACCTTTCTCACAAGCTCTTCCGTATGAATGATTTCAATGCAAGCAACATGCCTAGCAGGTATTAATGAGCAGGCCTTGTTCTCAGAGCATTTCAAATAAAGTCAGTCCAAGAATAAAAATGAAAATCCTTCCTCAGTAAATACTGCTTCTGAAATGCAGCAACAGAGATGAAGCAGCTTTGATGAATTAGCCTGTTTTTTAATATTGTAACTCTGTGAGTTATGTACAGATACATTCCAATCTGAAAGTTGACATACTAAAAACAGACATCTTCCATAATTTCTTTCCAGTGAAGACTTTGGAAAGTTAAATGAAGATGGGGCGGGGGGGGGGGGGGGGAATTCAGCACTCCATTTAAATTCTAAAAGCTAAATCTACACTTTTCAGTTTGACCCAAAATCTAGACTTTAACTTTGCATAAACACAATTAAGTTTGGCTAAATGAGGCATGGGGGTGGGAGAATTATACTGACAAGACGGACTGGCTGACCTTAAACTGTAACTTCACTGGTCACAAAAGCTAGCTGTCATATCAGAATTGGTTCTCAGAAAATTTTACAGGACACCAACATCCTTACTGCCCACATTCACACACCAGACAAGGAGACAGTAATTTCAGCTTGTTCAAACAGAATCCTAGTTATTAAATACACGCTGTAAAATCCCTACTGACAGTTCAAGACCTCTCTTATACCCATATTTTTCAACTGTCTCCCTGCACTGTTCATACCAGCCTCCAACAGACTAAAAAAATGTATTGTCAGTGCCAAACCCAATTTGATTCAGCATTGAATTATTAAGGGGAAGGGTTAAATTTTTAGATTTTAAATTTAAGACTTACTTTGAAAATGTTATTTGACCTCAGTTATGCTCATAAATACAAATTTTATATTCCTGTTCATAAACTTTTGTCAGCAGGAAACAAATCATCTGCTGGCAAGTGTAGCCAGAGTAATGGTCACTGGTTTGAACCTAGGAACACTAGTCAGCAACCATGGGAAGACCAGGGAAATCAGGACCCACTGTCACTTCTTCCTGAGTATGCATGCCAGCTCTGCAGGGCAATATTTTAATTCCATCTCATACTTTCTGAGATGCTCTGTTTATGCTGAATAGAGATCTGAAGAAAACATTCAAAACACAGAAACTTTCTTACATCTAACCAGAGTACAACTTTATTAGCTGAGATGCTGAGGCCAAAAATCTATTTGGCACAGAAGACAGGCTAGGCTAGTAGTCCCCTCAGAGAAAATGTACTGAAAGGATTCATCCTTGTGTAGGCTTTATTAAAAAAATTGGTACCACTGCAAATTCTGTCCCTGACAAAGTCACTGGTTCCTGAACACACTGGAGCAGACTTTACCTGGAGGGCACAGAGGGCCGAAGATTTCAATGGTTTCTTGGTGTAGCCAGTAAGGTAAACACTGTTGGTCCTCAGTCAGTGAGGTAAACAGTGAAAGAAACTAGTAAGTGAAGTAAACATGAAGGAAGGCAGGCAGTAGACAGCGAGGGGAGAGGCAGTGAGGTAAACAGCTAGACAGTTGATGAGAACAGCAATGGTAATCGGCGAGGCTGTCTGCAAGGTAATGAGACAGCAGACAGTGAAGGGAACCAGTTCAGGAAGGCAGACAGAGCGAGGTACTCAGTAAGGAGACAGAGAGAAGCAGTGAGGCAGTCAGCAGACAGTGAGACGGTGAAGTAAACAAGCGTAGTAAGGCAGCTAGGTAGGCAGTGAGGGCAATCAGTGGGGTAGACAGTGAAGACGGCGAGGGGGGGGGGAACAGAAGGGAGTGAGCTAATGATGTAACCGGTGAAGCAATCAGTGAAGTCAGGCAGAGTGAGCCAGTCAAGTTGATGAGCTAGTGAGGCAGACAGGTAGTAGGAAAGGTAAAGAGTGAGGTAGCCAGTCTGTGCAGCAGACAATGAGGGTAGACAGTGGAGTAGCCAGTTGGGGAGGGAGCCTGTCAGTGAGGTAGTCAAGGAGGGTAAGATGTGAGATAATCAGTTTGGCAGACGATAAAGGGAGTCAGTGACAGCCTGACATAAACAGTGGCAATCAGTGAGGTAGCCAGGCCGTGGGGTAGACAGTGAGGTAGTGACGTAGACCATGAAGGTAGTCAGGAGGCAGTGATGTAAACATGAGGCAGGCAGTGAGATGGACAGTGAGGTAACAAACAGTTAATAGGCAGTCGGTGGGGTAGTCAGTGATGCATTCTATGTGACAGACAGTGAGGTAGACAGCTAAGGTTCCTTGGCAAGTGATTTTGAGAGACCCACCTGCCACACTAGGACTTTACAGAAGGAGGGAAGAGGCCCTTGAGGCCAAGCTTGCATCTTGGATGTAAACAGAAATCACACATAGGCCTGGTCATTAAAAACAGAAAAGGTGCCCAAGTGGCTCAGTGATTTTCCAAAGGTGAGAGTTAACCGCAAACGCTTGCTGCCATTAGATACCATCTCATTTTTTTCCCCTGTCACTGCGAAAAGGGCACATCTATTCCAGAAAGGGGGAAAAAAAAAAAAGTCATTTTTCCTTCAAGGAGGGCAGCAGTGTGGAGCCTGTTTGCAGGGGTTGGGGCTGCAGGAGGAGGAGGGGCAGGAAAGGAAGGAGTGCTTTAAGGAGAGGCAGCTAGGGTTTTTCCACAGGGCCCCACACCGGCCACTGCAGAGAGAAAACGGCAGGTGGGGGAGAAAGGAAATGTCTCTCTCCGGGAAGGGGGAGGGGGCTGGGGGCAAGGCTGAGTGCAGTCTGCTGGAGGTAGGCAGGTCCCCTCCAGGATGCTATCGAGCGCCGGTTACCTTGGGACACAGGGGGAAAGGGACAACCAGGATGGAGGTCTGCAGAGGAGAGGGAGGGCAGAGACAGGGTCTCCTCCAAGTGCGACCCAGGAAAGGAGATGGGCAAACAGTGGGACCTGGGGCCTCCCTCGGGCCAAAAGGCGTGGCCAGGCATCCTATTGACCATCGCGAGCCGCCTGGACAGTGCGCCGCTACCCCACTCAAGCCAGCCCGGCCCGTCCGAGGGGACCCGCGCACGGCCGCAGACCTCCCCCCCCCCCCCCCCCCCCCCCCCCCCCCCGCGCTCTTACCTCCACACCCGCCCCATCTGCAGCAGGTGGATGACAGACTGCCAGATCCACACGGAGAGGCGGCACAGACGCTGCGCCCCCGGGGTGGCCGAGCCCCCCGCACCCGGGCCGCCGCGGGCCGCGCCGTGGCCGTAGCCGGCCCCCATCATTGGGGGTCCCCGGCTGCTGAGCCCCTCCACGGCGCCCAGCCCGCCGCCCGTGTAGTCCTGCACGAACCAGCGGAAGCTCAGGCTCTGCACCAGCAGCGACGGCACCAGCACGAAGAACAGGGTCAGCCCGAAGCAGCCGTAGTCCCCCTTGCGGTAGTAGTCGAGGGCCAGCCACAGGTCGGTACCCACGTCTCCGAAGAACACCAGCAGCGCTAGCACGATCCACAGGCAGTCGAGCCACGGCCGCTCCACCTGCGGCGACGCGGGCTGCGGTCGGCCGGCCGAGGGCGTCGGGGGGGTGTCGGCCGGCGGCCCCGGGCGGCTGCAGCGGCTGGTCCCCCCCGTCGGCGGCGGCGGCGCTGCGGCGCGGCTTCTTGCCCAGCAGCGAGCGCAGGCAGGCGGAGCGGCAGCCCCAGTAGCACGAGGAGGTGTTGCAGCAGTGGCAGATGTGCAGCGAGCTGCTTTCGCCGGGCTCGCTGCCGTCGCCGCCGCCGCAGCCGCCTCCCCCGGGCTCCCCGTCCTCCTCGCCGCTGCCCACCGCCTCGTCCAGGTTGTGCAGCTGGGCGAAGCCCACCCCCACGCCACCGCCATCGGATTTCGCCGCCATCTTGACTCTCTTCCCAGCTCCGGAGGTTGGGGGGGAGGGACGGGTGGGGGGAGAAGGCAGGGACCGGGGAGGGGGGGAACGAATGGAGAGGAAGGGGGGCGGGGAGGAAGCGGGGAGCAGACGAACGGGGGGAGTGGGCCAGGGAACCCCCTCCGCTTCCGGGCGGGTGGCGTCACTTCCGGGCGAGCCCCCCAATCGCACGGCGCCCGCAGCCTCCTGGCCCTACCCTGCCGGCCAAGATGGCCGCCCTCCTGTGCCTCAGCTGCTGGGCGGGGGGCCGGGGGGTTCTCCCCGCCAGGGCTCCCCTTCCCCTCTTCCGTTGACCCCGAAACCCATCAGGTTGACCCCTCGGCGTTTCAGAATCCCGCTGGGCTGAGTGAGGCGGTCCAAAGTGTTCCCTGGAGGAGGCAGTGCCAGACGTTTTGGGGTCCCCTTCCTCTGCGTCGCAGCTCTCAGCTTTGCTCTGGGAGAAACGCCCCCTAACACCCTCCCGGCTGCTGGCGGAGGGGCGGGACCTCTGAGGGAAGGGGAGGAGCTAGTACAAAGCAGGTGATTACTTGTCACTTCCGGGATATAGGATGACCTCATTGTGTAGTTAGACGCCCCCCCCCGCCCCCATCAAAATGGCTGTATCTCACCTCTGACTTTTTTTTTTCTTCTCCTCCTCCTTCTTCTTCCTCTTCTTCTTCTTGTTCTGGTTCTTCTTCCTCTTCTTCTGCTTACAGCCATGTTATTTTCTTATTTTGAGGGGCTATAAAAAATATAACAAAATTACATAAGTCAATATAGAGTTCACAAACTTACTGATTCTCGCTTCTGTTTAGGCATCTCTCATCTCTATTGACCCCCTGATTCTTCTGTCCCAGCTTCTGAAATAAAGTTTCCAACTTTCCCTCAAGAAAATTCTAGGCAAAATCTAATTAGAAATCAGCCTGGTTGCCTCTTTCCTGTTGTAGCAAGAACTGAATGGGCATCTTGTGACCTTGAATGTTTTCTGCACAGTTAAGAAAATTTCTACCTACCTTTTTTTTTATTTTTAACTGTGATTTTAAAACTCTGTAAAGACCTTCATTTGGAAAAAAAAAAAAAAAAAGGCTTTAAGCTGTATGTATCAATTACTTGTTCAGGCAATTTAAATGTGTGAAACTTGTCTTTGAGAAGTTTTTTTTTTTTTGGGGGGGTGCTAAGGCTCTGTTAGTAAACATGGCTTTAAATGAGTGAAAATGTTATTAATGTGCTAGATCATTAAAATAGGTGCAGAGTACATTCTCTGAGTTCGCTACAAATTGCACAAGTGAGGCAGCACTGAATGGATTTGAATTACAATGCTCTTTCAGTGGAAGGCACAGCAAACTTGGTTGTTACTGATGAGTTGAAAGAAGTATTTTGAAGAAACAGTGAAAACATAACACTGGGATTTCTTCATCAACCTGTGTAGATTTTTTTTAAAGCAACATTCCTTTCAGTAAAATCTAATAACGGCAATAACTTTTTTTTTGAATGCTACAAAGACAAATAGGTAGTATGTTTTTAGCATTGAGATTTGTAGAAAAAAGTTTCTTTGACAACTTAGTCATTACTTTGATGTATATGACATTTAACCCTATAGGGTCTTCTTAAGTTTTTAGAGGAGTTGGGAAAGAAGAGAATACCCCATTGTAGAACACAAATTTATATACATATATATATATGTGTATATATATATATATTTACATATATATACTTATATATATATAATGCCTACATAAAACCTACAAAGACTGAAAAACTATTTGAAGAGGATTTTATCCACACATTACAGAAAATGATTCTAGCCTCTGCTTTTTGAAAGAAATCACATGACTGCATCTTTTACTTCTTACCATAGTTTTATCCTTTTACTTTCTATGGTAATAAAACAGAGCTAACTGCTAAAAATTATTTCTGAATACAGATGAGAAACTTGTTTTTTTTTTTTTTTTCTGGATTTGAAATTATACCTTGGGGGCTAGAGAGATGGCTCACTGGTTAAGAGCACTGTCTGCTCTTACAGAAGACTCAGGTTCAATTCCCAACACCCACATGACTATCTCTAACTCCAGTTGCAGGGGACCTGGCACCATCATACAGACGTAAATGCAGGCAAAACACCAATATTCATTAAAAAAAATAAATCTTTAAAAAGGAAAAAAAATAAACAAGTAATAAAGTAACAACCTAAATGCATGGGCTCAATAGAGTTGTTCAGACTTGAATTCTAGCTGCATCAAAGTAATAATGTGAATACTATGAACAGGATAATCTCATTAAAGCTCAGTTTTCACCTCCTTTATATCATGAAAATAATAATAGTGCCTTCTTTGAAAATATGCTCAGCAATAATCTATTCAAAGCTCTCAACATGATGCCACATAGGCTAGGTAGTAAATAAATCATAACTGCCTGGGTTGCTGTTGCCATTTTTGTTACTACTCCACTTGCATCATGCCAACATACGTCTACTAAAATTCCATGAAACAGATTTATTGACTCTAATAAAAGAAAGCATTTTGAAATACTTCCTGGAAATAAGTGCAATTAATTTGTACTTTTAAATATATTTTCTTTAAACTGTGAGGCTATGAAATGGATACAAAAGCAGGCGGTGATGGCGTATTTATGATTCTTATTTCTCTTGTGCCCTGAAAGAGCAGAATTTACTGGTGAAATTAGCTAAGTAAATTACACTGACTGACAAAAGAGACAATGAGTCAAAAAGTGTCACAACTGAAATTTCAAGTAGATAGATAAGATTCAGTCTTTTCAAGTGATTTCAATTTGTAATTGCTGGCTCAACAATTTTATCTATTTTAAGAAGGGAGGACTATATTCTCCAATCCAGAAGGTTCTAAAATTAAAGTCAGTTACGATGATAATAAATCAATCACAGAGGCTTGCTGAAAGATTAATATGAATTTGGACTGTTCTATGGAGGGCACATTTTAGAGTCTTAAGTCAGTTCAATGTTCTGTGCGTGTTTAGCACTTCATAGTATTGAACACGTAGGCACTGAATAGATGAAGGAGTTGATGACTAATTTTCTGGGTAACTAAAATTTTAAATCCTGTATCAAAAAAATTATATTTTATATTTTATGATGTAAATCTTCACAAAATTATTGAAGTGTTACAGAGATATCTCAACACTTTATTTAAATTATGGAGAGAAGGGTAAGTAAAAAAATTACTCATATGCTTTCTACATACAGGGAGATGATTAACCTTTTAAATTGAGGTCTACTAATTTGCTATTTTGGTGCTGGAAATTAAACTCAAAACTTCACACATGCCAAGCACATGCTTTACCATCCACTTTCATGTAGTTAATCTTTCCTATCCTCTTTAACCTTTTCTTGACAGCTTGGTTTTGAGATGGCCTTGTGCTAAGAGGTTACTTGGTCCTACTAAGCACCTTTATTATAGGTGCTAGTTTGCTTTTTCCTAATCTTTTTTAAAATTGCTTTCTATAAGTTACTCAGTTAACAGTTTGATCCTGTGCTTCTACTACTACTATGTAGACTGAAAAGTTGAACAAGTTGTGTTCCAATTACATGTAAATTAATTCTAAATACATTCTCAGAGCTTTTATGAGAATAGTGAGGAAGTTTTACTGTATGGAAGTTGTGACATAAGTCCTCTTTGGAAGCCTTTGGGGTTTTCCTTTTTAATTCTTTGCTATTTTCAGAAAAGCAAAGAATACAGTTGGTATTGGAGCCCATTATGTATTAAGCACCCTTCCAACTATCGCTCCCTTTAAATCTTACACTAGTACCAAAAGGCTCGGGAGTTCTGCTCTGTCATAACCAGTTCTGCTAAATGACTTCTCCTGAGTCACACCTTATGCCATCTACTCTACCATGTCCTGGTCCAACCCACTAATGCCAACCCCAAAGGATATCTTATCACTCACTGTCTTAGTTATAAAAGAGACCCTGTTCTGTTGCAGTGTTGATACACATCTAGGGCACAGGACATTTAAATTCAAGTATGAGGATCATCTTAGAGGTTCTTATGTACGCATTCTTTACATACTTTAAGCCTATATAAGCTTCTTTTTAATGATTTATTTTCTCTTATTTTATGTGAATTGGTGTTTCCCTGCATGTATATCTGTGTGAGGGTTTGGATCTCATAGAGCTAAAGTTATAGACAGTTGTGAGCTGCCATGTGGGTGCTCAGAATTGAACCCAGTTTCTCTGAAAGAGAACCTTTTTTCCAGCCCCAGAGCCTATGTAAGCTTTTAAACAGTAAGTATTCACCACCTTTTGTTTCTGTGCCTTCTATTTCACTGATTTGTATATAAATAAAACTTCTTTCAGAACTGCAAAGACACAGAACCTGTTATTTTGACATTTGATGTTAAGAATTGAAGTGTTAGGCTGGAGAGATGATTCCATGATTAAGAACACTTGCTCTTGCAGAAAACCCAAGTTTGGTTCCCAACACCTACACCAGGTATTCCACAACCACTTGTAACTCCTGTTGCAGGAGGTCTGGTGCCCTCTCCTTGCTTCTGTTGGTGTTTCCACACATGTGACATACACTCACATAGACTTGAACACATACGCATGCACACACACACACACATAAATAGAATTGAGGTATTGCTACTGGTGGTATAAAAATGGTACAGTCTCTACAGAGGCGAATTAGACCCTACCTGCCAAAAATTACAAAGGGAATTACTCTCTGAGACAATAACGTTTCTATGTAATTTTATCGTATAGATAAACATGCACATGTCGTCAGAAAGTACAAATAAAGTAAAACATGTGAGTCAGCAATTAAGAGCACTGGATGCTCTTTCATATGATCTGGGTTCAATTCCCAGCACCACATTGTGGCTCACAGCTGCCTCTAACTCCAGCTTCAGAGGGTCTGATGGCCTCTAAGGGCATGAAGCGCACATATCCTACACAGCTATATATGCAGACAAAGCATCCATGCATATAAAACATTCAATACATTTTTATTTCTTTATTTTTAATGTGTTCTAATCTCATACAGTATACCCTGGCCTTCTCCTCCCTCCCATAATGACAATCTCCCCCCTTATTGTTAAATTTTTTATACAATATAGTTTGATCATATTCTTTCCCTTCCCCCCAAGTCCTCCCAGATCCATCTCACCTCAACTTCATTTTCTTTCTCTCAACATAAAAACAAACACAAAAAAAGATTAAAGAAAAACCAGACCATAACTAAAAAGGCACACATA